CTTTGATGGTGGCATCATAGAGGCACGTAACAAATTTTAATAAAGTAAGTTGTATGACTGTAAGCATGGCTTTGGGCATTTAAATAAAATAAAAGGTCAGTGGCGTTGGCAGTCATCTTGAATTTGGAGTGTGGAGCATTGTGCTTTGAAGTGTTTCACCTGGGTGAGGTTGACACATTGACGCAGAAACAAATTACCCTCTATATCAAAACATCTAACCAATTAATGCAATATACAGTGACATCTACACTCCAAGCACCCATAATAGGAATTGTACAGCATGTAAATGGAAGAGATTGTCGAAAACGACCTTTGTAGGCTAACTCTTACAGTGTTATGCACTAAAGTAAGAATTGTTCGTAATTTAAAGTGAGTTTCATATTTAAGGTCACAGTAGCCAATCTGGAAGCAGAGCTGTACTGAAGAATTTACTCAATTCTGATATTTTAGCCTTAAATTTGAAATTAACTTTAATTTATGACAATTCTCACTTTAGTAAATAACTATTTAAAAGACAAATTCCAAGGGCATTCAGCCCTACCACCACCCTTTAGATTCTCCCTAATTCCTGAAAATCACTGCCCCACCTCCTCTATGTTTTAAAAATCAGGAGTTTCCGCATAGTTTACCAATCCTATATTTATATAATCCCTTATAATTATAATGCCTTTGCATATTTTATCCAGGGTTGTTGATGAAAAGTTGTTTCTATACAACATCCCAACATCCTACCGTCTATAAAGAATAGCACAGCAATTGCTCAGGGCCCATTAGGTGCATGCTCGACTACAAAAGAGACAGAACTAAAAGTCGCTGTTAAAAATGGCAGGTTCTTGCTGATTTGTTTTGGAAAAAGCAGATTTAATTGTACAGGCTGGAAGGTTACCCTGTGTTTCTATGCTTAAATTCACACCAAGTATCCATTTGGCTGTAATGCTCAAACATTCCCTATGAAATGAAAAATAATGAAATGAAAGCAATGTCAAAGCCCAGACGACAAAAACAAAACAAAACGACTTTACAAGTACAAACAGATTGGCACAGCTAAAAGAATATTAACACTTTTCGATTTCATCCCGTTTGTTAGAGTCAGCGTGAAAAAACCCAACTGCTGTAGAACATGCCTGAGGCTAAATGATAATTTATTACCAAGAGAAAGAAAGTCTCAATTCATCAAAAACCCAAGTGAATGTGATTGTCTATAATGGTTGATATCAGCATATTAAAAACGAAAAAAAAAAATCAATCTTATGCAAGCCAATATATTTATTTAACTATCACCGTAAAAACAAATTAAGCATTATTTAGTAAACGGACTTGTTGGAAATTCTTAATGGACTTTACATTTAAAGGGTTATTCCAAGCAACGTGACCACTTCAGTGATTTGAATGCTTTACTATGAAATGCTGCTCAGAGAGATGTAACCCTTCTGGTGCGGTGGTGTAACTCCACTTCCAGCAGCGACATTGGGGTGATACTAACCAGCCTGCTTTGTTCCAGGCTGGCTACAGTCAGTTACGGGCATATTTGGCATCTATTGTCGGCACGCACAGCATGATGGCAACAGACAGCTAATAAAGGCACACTTCCCCAGGTGCCTTCCCCTCAGTCTGCCCTATATCACATCCATCCCCTCAAGCAAGTTGGACTGACATGTTAGTCGGGGTGGGTCATTCTGAGGGACAACCTGGCCTCTGAGATAAAATTGAGGTAAATTTTTTATATCTGCTTGTGACAAACTCCCCTTTTTAAGGGAGTTTGCCATGAGTTTTTGGAGGGGCCTGCTTGCCAGTCTCCTACCCTGGGACCAGGCTGGACTGGCCATCGGGCACACCGGGCAAATGCCCGGTGGGCCGCGATGGTC